GGACATTAATTGAGTACAACTATATAAATATTATTATAAATACTATAAATAGTATTGCGGTGTCGTCATTAATATCATATTTTATAAGGCAAGGCGCGTTCGACGATTTATATATCGACAAGAAAAATATTAAATATATTTATAAGTCGAGCGAGCGTGACACGCATTAACCCGGGGGTGCGTTATGGACCATCGTGAAATAGGAAGTATTATATTATTATATACATAACAAAAATCATAATAATAATAATTGTATTATAATAAAAAAAAAAACCCCCCGTAGCAATGCCGTCAAGTTCTCTTGTATATATAATATAAAATAGTAATATCATTATCATCGTAATCATAAAAATAATCATGATGTGATGACAATTAGTTCCTGGAAAACATTATTAAGATTCGTCCTTGCAATGAAAACCCGATTTACCTCGTGGCGTTAGCTAGGCGGTTGTAAAAACAAAATGAGGGCATCGATTATAACATAATAATGAATGTGCGCGTGAATATTAACACGTTMATATACATAATAATGGTAATAATGTACACGATATTATATTCAGTATTATAAGTCATATCAATTCGTAGACTACCGTAGTACCGTCACATACTACCCTCRAGCACGTGTGCGGAAGCTGTATCTGTATATACATCATAAAACGTAATATTATATTGAAAACGTTTTATTAACGTATATATTAAACGGTACAGCGATTACAGCGATAAGTCATATGGGCCTGAAAGTTCAAAAGTAGGGGCGATGAGTTGGAGGAAGAGGGGCGTGTACGTATAAATATTGTCATGGCGGCCGTTTGTCCATATTAGCCATCAATGGCACATATTTCAACATCATTATTTTATTATTATGTAATAACTATAATAGGCACTGGTATATTTTAGAACTAGAACTTTTTGATTTTTCGGTTTCTAGAAGTACAATAAATTCCGTTCTGGTTTCATAAKGGTTTATAGAAAAACAAAAATGTCAGATTATATACTTTAAAATTAAAAATATCAGCTGTTATGGTTGATACCGATGATGAGGAAGACATTCGAAAATGCGTTTAGAATCATAATATTTGTTATCAAAATATCGGCACTAGTCTCTAAACTATACATATATAATCAAGGTTCCGGCGAAATTGGGATTTCA